GAGTTGATGAGTTTTGAAATCTTTGGTGAATTTTTTGTGGAGTTTATTAAAGAAAGGGAGGGCGGTGGGTTTTATGATCTTTGGTGGATTTGTGGGGAAGAACAAAGGGAGAGAGAGCCATTTTTTTTTTTTGAATTTTTAAATAATTTATTTGGGATTAATTTGCACTTTTTAAAAAGGTTTGGGAGTATGGTTGCAATTACTCTTTTTTTTTCTTTTTTTTTTTTGTCTTATTTAAGTAGGAGGGTATATTTGTCATTTTATATTTTTTAAAATTAAGAAATTGGATAAAAATTGATGAAGATGATGTTCTCCACAATGAAATGTGAAAATAAGGGTGAAAATGCAAAAATTTGAAACGTAAGAATGTTTTGCACACTAAAAACCAAACGTAGGGATATTTTATGCCAATAAGCCTTAAATATTTCAATGGCAACCGAACTTATATCATGTCAAGACTAACTCACTGAACTTTATCAATTGTTTCATTGGCGGCTAAATTGTGCTCCATCCATCTTCATCGCTACCCCAATAAAAATCATTAATAAACATGCTTGCGTGGATGACGAAAAACCTAGCCGACCGGTTAAATCCTTCCTAGTGGTGAGTCAAGTGCCAAAGCAACTTCCATGTTAGCAAAATTGCATACGAACAAGGCTTTAACAATTAATAAAAACGTCTTTCACGTACAAAATGAAAAGAAACAGACGTGTAAGCCATATACATCTCTTCCCCAATCAGAGTTGCTCCCAAATCTATCAAGAACCCTAAGTTCACCTCAAGAACCATCTTCTCCAAAATCTTTCAAACCCTAACATCTTGAAATCGATTTCTCCCGAATCTCATGCAAAGTCTATGAAAATCCAGTCAATTATTTGGGTCAACGTCGGTATCCCAAATTAGGTAATACATACTCGATTTCTTGATTTTGAAAATTGCAAAAATGGAAATTTAATGGTTTATAAATTGGTTAACATATTTGAAGTCATGTTCTATGGATGTTCTTAATTTTGTATTACTTCTTGAAGAATAAGTGGATAAATATGATAACTATTCTGAATTTTTTGTGGCTGCAATAGCATATTTTAATGGCAGGAAAGAACAAGGAGATTTGTTATGGTTGTAAGAAGTCGGGGCTACTACTTGTCGAATTGTCGTACGAAAAAATTGTGCCCAGTATTCGGCGAAGGAATTGAGAAATGTATGGACCTTGAAAAGAAGACTAAAACCATAGGTTGGCTATTCTTCTATTGTACGAACAATTGCGGTCATTTCAAGTGGCTCAACGAAGAAGAACACTACAACAAAAAGAGTCATTCGCAACATTAGAAAGACAACAATTATTAATAAATGTTGCTAAAAGGGTCTTTTGACAACATTTTAGTAAGTGAATGTTGTCATTGGTTAGTATAAATGAGTTTTGACAACGTTTTTTTAGAAAAATGTTGCAATAGACCCCTTTTCGCAACACTTAACAAACGTTGCGATAGACCCCATTTCAATTCTGACCCAACAACCCACAAAATACCCAATCCATAATCCGCCAACCCAACCCGCTAAGATTAAAAAAAAGGGAAAAATTGCTAACTGGACACAGCAGCCCTAAAATCCATCATCTCTCGTGGTCTCGTTTTCCCTTATCTCCAATCCCTCATCTCTAATATCTCTCGCACTCGCTTTCCCGTGAAATCCTTAAATCGCCAACACCAATCCCTCATCTCAAATCTCCAACACCAATCGCACTGCTCTGTCATCGTCTCTTCCCATATTGGTCTTTACAAGGAAGACCAGTTCGGAAGGGTGGGCAGTATCTGCGTCGTCTCTCCCCCGTAGGCATCCATCTGCTGATTGGCATCAATTTCTCACCACACTCAAAAGGTAGGCAGTATCTGATTTATTCGTTTCCCTGAAATATAGAAACTATTGTGTTAGTGGCCGATTGTTATGCTTGATTTGGGGGTAGCCTGCTTGATTTATGTTATGTTTGTAGCTAAAATCGGTATGTTACAATCTGTTGCTGTTAGCAGAGTCTCAATCCAATGAGTCTGTTGCCCTCCTTAGAGGTGCCTAAAGTAGAATAACACCTAAGGTTTACTCATTTTGTGCCCTAAGGCTACCCTCAATCTTCAATGTCGAGGGATTGTGGCTTTCCCTCTT